GTAATATATTTGTACTATATGTATATGAAACAGTAATATATTTGTACTATATGTATATGAAACAGTAATGTATTTGTACTATATGTATATGAAACAGTAATATATTTGTACTATATGTATATGAAACAGTAATATATTTGTACTATATGTATATGAAACAGTAATATATTTGTACTATATGTATAGGAAACAGTAATATATTTGTACTATATGTATATGAAACAGTAATATATTTGTACTATATGTATATGAAACAGTAATGTATTTGTACTATATGTATATGAAACAGTAATATATTTGTACTATATGTATATGAAACAGTAATATATTTGTACTATATGTATATGAAACAGTAATGTATTTGTACTATATGTATATGAAACAGTAATATATTTGTACTATATGTATATGAAACAGTAATATATTTGTACTATATGTATATGAAACAGTAATGTATTTGTACTATATGTATATGAAACAGTAATATATTTGTACTATATGTATATGAAACAGTAATATATTTGTACTATATGTATATGAAACAGTAATGTATTTGTACTATATGTATATGAAACAGTAATATATTTGTACTATATGTATATGAAACAGTAATATATTTGTACTATATGTATATGAAACAGTAATATATTTGTACTATATGTATATGAAACAGTAATATATTTGTACTATATGTATATGAAACAGTAATATATTTGTACTATATGTATATGAAACAGTAATATATTTGTACTATATGTATATGAAACAGTAATATATACGTCTCACAGCTAAATTTTGGCCGTTTTACGGTTAGCGGTTAACCTGAGACCATCTTAAATTGATGAAAGGACAGAGTTCTCAAGTCAAGGACTCTCTCCCACTGTTTCTGTATTTTTTGAAATATGATATAAAATCAAGAGAAAATTCTATTCAGACCTGTTCAGCGCCTAACATTTCATCAAAAAGGGAAAAGTTTGTATCGTTTCGACGAATTTTGCACGCGATCTTCTGATAGTAGAATATGCTGATGGCATCTTTCCTCGCGGGAATGGATCGTTTCGCTCCCATATGCGGGGGCACTGTAAACTGGCTTATACTATTTTGCGAAACGAAACGAAACGAAACGAAACGAAACGAAACGAAACGAAATCGGGTCAGATGAAATAAAACAAAAGAAATAATGCAGATATATTTTCTAATAAGGTAAAGATAACTTTCACAAGGATTTTGGAGTAATCGTTCATTAACAAGTAGGATTTTTATTCATTTCGCAAAATAGTAATTTTAGGAGAGTTACTATTTTGCGAAATGGACTATTTTCACCCCTGCGGTGACAACGTGACCTCTTTCATGTCACGAGAATACATCTAAACATTACAAATTAGTATATCAACGAACATTTTGGCCTCCTCTTATTTCTTAAACCGTATTAAAATATATTTCGCAAAATAGTAATTTTAGGAGAGTTACTATTTTGCGAAATGGACTATTTTCACCCTGAGGTGACAACGTGACCTTTTTCATGTCACAAAAATACACTTAAACATTACAAACTAGTATATCACCGAACATTTTGGCCTCCTGTTATTTCTTAAACCGTATTAAAATGTATTTCGCAAAATAGTAATTTTAGGAGAGTTACTATTTTGCGAAATGGACTATTTTCACCCCTGCGGTGACAACGTGACCTCTTTCACGTCACGAAAATACATTTAAACATAACAAATTAGTATATCACCGAACATTTTGGCCTCCTTTTATTTCTTAAACCGTATTAAAATATATTTCGCAAAATAGTAATTTTAGGAGAGTTACTATTTTGCGAAATGGACTATTTTCACCCCTGCGGTGACAACGTGACCTCTTTCATGTCACAAAAATACATTTAAACATTACAAATTAGTATATCACCGAACATCTTGGCCTCCTCTTATTTCTTAAACCGTTTCAAAATTTATTTCGCAAAATAGTAATTTTAGGAGAGTTACTATTTTGCGAAATGGACTATTTTTACCCCTCAATAACTTTCTTTTCGGGTCACAAAAATACGCTTAAACATTTCATTATAGTATATTCTCGAAGGGTTCGGTCACCTCCTCTTTCTCTATCCAGATATAATTAATTTCTCAAAGTAGTAATGTCAGAAAAATTACTGTTTTGCGTAATAGCTAGGCTATTTTCACTCAGCGGTAACGATGTCGTTACTTCTCGTGTCATACAATAGGTTTTCGGTAAGTTTCAATTTAAAGCACTATCAAATCTCAAAAGGTCTAAGCTATCTTCACCTATATAAACGTCTTCTAAATTTATTTCGCGAGGCAGTAATTTTGGAAGAATTACTGTTTTGCAAAATGGACCATAAATGATTTAAATGCCGCCTGAGAAAACTGACTCGTGACAGATTGGGTTTACAGGTCTCACCTTTCCTTGTACGTAAGTGTTTTAATTAGCTGTGGTCTGTACTTCTTCACTGCCAAGCAACAAGGCGGTGTTTTCCTTTCCTCAGCTTCAAATGATTAAGTAAGAGCCAATTAATAACTCCATCTCAATAAACATGCAACAAGAGGTTTGGGCTAACAGGTTCATTTAATCAAAATCGACAATCGACCGTATTGCGTGACGCCGAAACCAAGTCAAGAGAACCCTGCTGAAGGCCCAAACCGAGGTTGTGTCCAATTAATGACATGGGAGGGAGCGGAAAGTAAGAGGTAAAAGCTGTTTTTACTAGCGACGGAGCTATTCTAGGGGGAAGTTGGCATGTTCTCCTGAGAGATTTGAAAGACTCGTTTCGTGCGTTTTGAAGGGTGTGCACTGTTTCGGTGCAAAACCAACATGACAGTTTTCCAGTGGCGGCTAAACATGTTTAGACTCTCCGTCTCGTATAGAGAACAGAAGCATACCCATGCCTAAATAGTCGTCCAGCAGTTTTATAATCGCAAGTAATACAGTTACTTTGCTTCAAAATTTTTAATAAAAATAATATACATGGAAAAGTTACGCGCTTCTGATTACACCCCCGTCGCACACCTCTTCCTTACGAGCAAGAGATCGTGTTTCGCATTTGCGCAAGTTCCACGTGCTGCAAGAAGTTCGCTTTGTGCTCGCTTTGTGTGCTGCTAAATCAGGCAAGATTATGGCTTTTAAATTTCCTGTTCTTAAGCCCAAGACCATCGACTGTTCAGGTCTTCCAGTTCATGATTTCAAGTGTTTGACAAACAAGGAAATCATTGGTAAGGGCGCTTATGGTGCTGTGTTCACTGCTAACTGGCAGACTGTTCCTGATGCGGGTGGGAAATCGGCCGCTGCGGAGAAAGTCGTCGTTAAGAAATTGCTTGGCGAGGACATATTGGATAAGAAAACGTTTGTAAAGGAAGCAAGAATCATTCAAGAGTTGAAACATCCAAACATTGTGAAGTTCAAGGGAATCTGCAACAATCCCTTCGCCCTTATTCTCGAGTTCCCGCCCGCCGAGTGTAAATAATCCATTTCGCAAAATAAACATTTTTCGGAATGACTACATTCAATTAGTTTAGAAATTACTACATTAAAGAGGAGGTGACCAAGATCTTTGAGAATATACTATAATGTAATGTTTAAATGTATTTTCGTGACATGAAAGAGGTCAAGCAAAATAGCAACTCTCCTAAAATTACTATTTTGCGAAATATATTTTAATACGGTTTAAGAAATGAGAGGAGGCCAAAATGTTCGGTGATATACTAATTTGTAATGTTTAAATGTATTTCCGTGACGTGAAAGAGGTCACGTTGTCACCGCAGGGTGAAAATAGTCCATTTCGCAAAATAGTAACTCTCCTAAAATTACTATTTTGCGAAATGAATAAAAATTCTTCTTGTTAATGAACGATTACTCCAAAATCCTTGTGAAAGTTATCTTTACCTTATTAGAAAATATATCTGCATTATTTCTTTTGTTTTATTTCATTTCAGAGGTTACGTTAGTCACCGCTGAGTAAAAATTGTCCATTTCGCAAAATAGTAACTCTCCTAAAATTACTATTTTGCGAAATACATTTTAATACGGTTTAAGAAATAAGAGGAGGCCAAAATGTTCGGTGATATACTAATTTGTAATGTTTAAATGTATTTTTGTGACATGGAAGAGGTCACGTTGTCACCGCAGGGTGAAAAATTCCATTTCGCAAAATAGTAACGCTCCTAAAATTACTATTTTGCGAAATGAATAAAAATCCTTCTTGTTAATGAACGATTACTCCAAATTCCTTGTGAAAGTTTTCTTTACCTTGTTAGAAATTATATCTGCATTATTCCTTTAGTTTTGTTCTATCTCACCTGATTTCGTTTCGTTTCGTTTCGTTTCGTTTCGCAAAATAGTATAAGCCCTGTAAACTTCCTGCTGTTACTCTAGGGTTACTTTTTAGAATCTCCTACCGTATTTTACACGATAATATTGATGAAAGTAAAGTCATGATAACACATACAGCATCATTGTAAAAACTTGGGACTTCAATTGACGTCATAGGAAAGAGCTGACTGATCTTCCGCTAAAGATGAACAATAAGTGATCTTGTGGCAATCTAAGGTCAGAGTTTGTAAAAAATAACAAGTTCAAAAAATGGAAATGCTACATTTTCACCAGTGCAGGGCAGATTCACTCCTTGCTTATAGTGAGAAGTATTAAAAACTGTCCCGCCTAAATCTTCCGTAGATCGCTCTCCAATCGTTTTGGTCATAATGTAATCATTTTCGTTATGCTATTGCTGTCGTTGGTGTTGTGGTTGGTTTTTTTTTAATCGTTATGTAATAATTGATAAATCAATTACCAGCTAACTTTCAGGTTCTGACTGACTTTCAATTGGCTCCTTCTCACCTGACTAATGAGAGTACTGGTTTTTTTTTGGCAAATACCTCTGCTGCAAATTAAAAGTTGTTTTGACGACTTCTCGTATCGTCGAAACAGACTGAGGGAGACTGGTTAACTTGGAGGCTTGGGTACAAAGTCGCGCCTGGCATATTTTGCATCAGGGATGCAGTACTGGTCTTCCTTGGTCATCCAAAATCTTAGTCATTCCCATTAATCATGTGGCTTCGACAAGAGTACAAACCTGAAAAACAAAGGTTCGAAAATCCATTTGAACTTGAAGTTGACAGGGGTTCTGACGCTGATCGATCTGGAGAAGGGGACAACGAACTCTACAATTGCATGCCTCTCATAAAACTTCGACAGAGCTACACAGCTCTTGGAACAACTGTTTGGGATGGAAGTATTGCACTCGCTAAGATGTTCGATAATCGAGATCTATTTCCTTTACACTATTTACAGGAATGCCGAGTTTTAGAGCTTGGAGCTGGCTGCGGTTTAGTGGGAATTTATTTGTGTTTGTTAGGTGCGAAAATGACCGTTCTAACTGATCAGAAATGTTGTGTAAAAACTCTTAAAGACAACGTGGCAGCAAATGTGACTGGAGTTGGTCGGAGTAGAATCAAGGTTGTGGAATATTGTTGGGGGAAAAGCACAGAATATTTGACAAAAGATGGTCTGTTTCATCTCATTCTCGCTGCAGAATGTCTTTATTCAGCGGACGACTCTGTGCTTCTCGCTCAGTGCATCACAAAATTAGCAAAACCTGGTTCACGTATTTACGTATCAATGGGAAGGAATCGTGGAGGCGAGGAAGCATTTGTGAAAACGATGGTAGATCAAGGTTATGACTGCCACAAGGTATGGAAGTTAGAAACACTGCCCAACTGGTTATACAATCGAACCTCAATTATCCAGAGTCTATAAATATTAATGAGCCAAAATGTATCATTTGATTTATACCACGCAAGAAATAAAAGTATGTTCTCTAATGAATGTACTTCCCTGTTAACATTTGCCAAAAGTATTTACAAAAATGTTTTGCTACCTAAAGTGCTATCTGTCATTGTCATCAAATTGTTTCAGTAATTCAGCTCTGTGTGATGGGAAAACATTGTCAAAGATCTCAAGAGGGACTATTTCTTTGAGACCAGAGAATTAAGTTCAGATTATCAAATAATCTGGATAATCAAGGTTTGATTGTATCGATTTACTCAAACACTTCTCTCATGACTTAGCCTCAAAATCTTATCATTCAACCCTCTCACTCCCAAGATCTCCTTACTGTCTGCCATAGAATTATTATGAATTTAGTTCAGAGAATTTGGTATTGAATCAACTAATAATCTCTCTAGTTAATTTATATTTATCTCTTCTCTGATCACATGCCACCTTAATTTTTTATATTGATGTTGTGAGGAGAAATCCTACCTTGGTCTCTCATGCAATCAGAAATATCATTACCAATTATAACACTGACAGTGTTTTTAGATTCCAAAGTTTTGGAGTTAAGATGAGAGGCTTCAGGTGTTCTCAAAACTTAACCAGGGAATACAGTGCTAGTTTGAATCTTACTTAGCAACCTAATTTTGTACCTCAGTGTAATCAAATTTCTCTCCTCTTTTTCCCAACACTTGATGATCTATTTTAAACCCTTAGCATCCTAACATCAGCTTGCTTATTCTCTAAGTATGTTGTTCTGTATACTGTACATTTCCTAAGAGCTGCTATGGAGAATTTGTGTAATAATCAAGAGCTTTTTTAGTTGGTGATCATTTCCTTTATTCTTGTGATGTGTGGTTCAAGGGTAATATCGCAAGGAGGAATTAGATGGTAACTATTTAACTCCTAAGATCTCATAAGTAATTCTCCTTACTGTCTGCTATATATTTCTTGTCATGTTAGTTTGGAGAATTTGGTATTGGATCCACTAATTATCCCCTAATTAATACTTTTCTTTATTCTCATCACTTGTCTGCTTGATATTGTATTGATATTGTAAGGAGAAATTCTGTATTGGTCACTCATGAGAGTTAAAGGGTTAAAGAAATTGTTTGCATTAAAATCCCTAACCTGGATACAGAAGTCTCTTTTCATGAGATCTAGAGTTTTTTTTCTCAAAGTTTATCATAGTTTTTCAGTCTGTTTGAATATAGTTTTCTTTGTATGTACTTCTTAGTATTTAAAACGGCTTTAAATGGTTTTATACATTGCTTCTATCATTTACTCTGTCTGTTTTCATGGCTTTGCTTCAATGCATCATTTTATCTCCAAGCCTTGTTAACATCTCATTGCTTTGCATCAGTAAACTTTGTTTACATCTTTATCTTCAAGAACATCATCATTGTGGCTACTGTTTCTTAAAGCATGTGAAAGAATTTTGTTTTAACATGGGATTAACCAATCATCCTGTGAGTGATGTCCTGCATTCACACCCAGCTTGTTTTAAACAAGTAAATACTAGTTTAAAACTTGCCAAAAACCATGATACTATAATAAAATACTACTGATGGAAAAAATAAAAAAAAAAAAAAAATTTGTTTCAGGTATTTGGGACATATTCTCCTTTAATCTTCTTGAATAAAAATTAAAATCCTCAAGAAAAATATCAGAATTATGGGAATAAGAAAAATGTCAATAGAATTGGAAAATAATTGTGTGAAGATTGACCATCAAGTAATCGTGAATCTTTGTCAGAATCTCATTGCCATTTGCCTCCCTTTTCAACCACATTTACATGATTGCCATGTAATGTACAAACCATGTCTTTTAAGATGCATCATCCTGGCTTTTCAAATTAAATGTTATTGACTATTCACAATGCACCAAAACTGGAATAATGTTGGAAAGTAGAGCTGGAAAATAATCTAAGTAATGTCAGTGCAAAGTTAGTTAATGCAAGCCTTACTTTTCTTTTGCAGGTCCCTAAAAATGAACTTCACCCAAAATACCAGGATGATGTAATAAAAATTTTGGAGTTCAAACTGAAAGTTTGACTTGCTAACTAATAAAAGTAACTGAAAAAAGTTAAAGTTGTGTTATTGTTAATACAGAATCCCTAAAGGTTACAAGTCCTGAGATGGTCCAAATTCACTGATTTAGTTTCAAAAATTTTTATCAAATTTGCTGAAGAATATTCTGTACATTTAATGAGCTGTGGTTAAATTTTTTGTTTCTATTGGACATGTTGCTAATAATAATTTCTAGCAATAGGGAAGACACAGAATTTTTAAAAGACTCTTCTACATGAATGGAAGTCCTAATTTCCAGGACTGCAACTCAGTCAATGCTGACACTTAAAGAATGAGGTGCAGAATTACAGGAGACATTCAGTAATTAAGCGGCCTTGTTCACTTTAGATTCTGATGACTGATACAGGTAATTTGTCTGTAGTATTCATTTACAGTACTGAAGTTTCTTAAATTTGGATGAAGTGAATTTCCAGGAAAAACAGCTTTAAAGGGTTTTGAGTTTCATTTTGAATCTGTGAGGTTTTCTCAGCTGCAGCTGGTGAAACACAGTAGACAAACAGGTAAAGTATACAGGCCATAGGCTTTATTTTATATTGTCACTAAAATTTATATGTCATCAAAATCAATAAAGCGCCTATTGGTAGGAGGATTTCAAGGAAGTAATCTGCTTCATTAAACTCTTTTCCACCTTGTTTAACAACTGAGGTAGTTCAATGGCACAGCCACGATCTTCCCAGTGGCTGCAATAGTCTAGAATGTATCGAATACAAATTGGTGATTCTGGATCTTCAAAACAAGTTGCAAAATGACAGGGGCTTTGTAGATTACTTGTATCAAAGTTGCATGGCTCTTCCTGTGAAATAAAAAGCAGATATGATAACATGTATTATCTTAACGTATTAAAATGACTATAGTTGTAGGCAACATGAGCCAACTTTGGTTCAGCATGAAAAATAACTGCTTTTAGACTGTTGACATCCTTCATAACTTCTAGAAAAATTTTTCAGTTATAAAATAAAATTTTTCCAGCAGCTTTTAAAATGATGGAATCACACTCAAGTCTATCAAAATTAAGAAAACCATAACAAGTGTTGTTAACTCTTTACCCACTTTTTTGGTAGATTCTTTTTTTCATCTTTTGGCTATGAAATAAATCCTTCACTGATCAAGTGGGAGGTCAAGATGAATGGGTATTTGCCTTGAATGTTTTTTTTTGTTTGTTTGTTTGGTTTTTATTTGATCTTAGTCCATCAATTTCAGGTAAATATTGAACAATCTTTACATCATGCTTGGTCATGGCAATCACACAAGTACAAATTTCATTACCTCGGTAAAGTCAGGACCATTATGGATAGCTTCATATTCATCTGGTGACATTTTTCCTGTTTCAAATGTATATTCACTCATCCTCTTGTCTTGGTCTAAACAAACCAGTGGTCTCACATCCATCATCAAGAACTTCTTTTCATACTTTCTGAGTAAATTTCTTAATGATGCTGGTATACTTGGCAGATGATCCCCTTCATCACCATGCATGGAAAAATAAAATGAGGAGCTTATATATGAAGGATATATATATCTTATTAAACATTTTGGTGTGTAGTATCGCTGAGTATTTATGAGTTGTGCTGTATTTTGACAAGCCCTGTAGGGCAAGTCAAAACACAAACTTCAAGTAAAATTACTCAGCAATACTACACTGAAACATAAATAAGTTAATATTTATTATCCAACTGCTTTTTTTTCTGCTAAGTCTTTCTGCTCATTTCTGATAAGGCAGGAAAAGCAAAGTGGATAGAGAAGTGTAGCACATGCAGCTGACTGGTTAAACAGGTTTTTTACAATACAAAATATCCAACTTTCCAAATAACTGTACAATATCACAAGATATTTGCACTCTATTCATGTGTTATTTGTACTCTACTTTGTGCAGTTGGATAGTAATAAATGGTCCCACATAGATACACATTTTATCTTTTAATAAGTATGAGGAAACAGATACTGCATTTCCTCAAATAAGTGCCCATGCCCTAATAAATGCCCTTCCCCGAATAAGTGCCCACCCCCCAAGGCTGCAATGTGAAACAAGTGCCCCCCCCCTCCTCCCTAACTTTCTTAAATAGTAGGAATAGCAGGGAAACTTGTTCCTATTTCCAATTTCTTAGTTTATAACTTTTTAAGATTCAACTACAGAAGAATCAGAACAGCTCCCCCAATCAATTAAGCACCCTCATCCAATCATCAAGTGCCTCTCCTTTCAGCAGAAATTTTAAATGAGGGCCCAGGTGCTTATCCAAGGAAATACAATATGTATCATCCACTAGTTGAATTTAAAGTTCTGTTTACTTTGTATCAGATATTATCAAATGTCAAAATAAACAACCACAGTAATTGCTATCAAACACATTACAAGGACAAAGATAGTGATCATTTGCATACAAAGTCAACTAGCAGAAAAACTTTTAGTTATAATTTGAAAGTCTTACATTAAAACAAATAATTATTAAATAAGGATTTTTTCCAATTGCGTGCACCAATTGGTTACTTTGGAAGTAATTAGAAAGTACAAAATATAAATGTACTGCTCAACTGTATGCATTTCAAGTGACAAAATCGCACATTAAGTTAATACTAATGATTTCTAACTATTTTCCATTGTATTCATTTGACAGAAATAAATTGATTGTTTGGTTTCTGTGTGGTATATTCTAGTCTAATAAAACCAATTACTATTCACCAGGTTACAGTTCTTCAATTAACAGCACTTGAAATGTTACCTCTGACAGCACCATGTTGAAAAATTTACATCATTTATTTCTTACCTCTTATTTGGGTTGAAGATTGTAGATTTCCAGAAGTTATGGCAGTTTTTGATGGCCATAGAAACTGTACAAATAGGTTATACTCTGTTGAAAACGTTACATGTTGCCACCACATTTGAGGTATGTATAACATGTCACCCTTAACAAGGTCGACAGTCAAGTATGGAATGCCTCTAGATGAGAGAGTATCTGGGGGAAAAATTAAAAAAAAAAGAAATGAGCACAAGGGAGATTGGGAAAGGGGAAGGGGACAATTCACCTACTCTGTCAAATCGCAACTCTAGTGCTAATGTAGCAAATTTGTTGTGCTTGGCAACTGTCTACATTTAACAAATGCATAAATCAAGTGGAAAATTCTTAAATCAAATGGAACATGTTTAATTTAAGTGCAAATCTATTTTAAATTTCCCTTTGTTAATTATGAACAGACAGAGAGGTATATGTACATCAGTTCTGAAAAAGTAAATAAAAATGTTAGAAGTAATGATTTCAAGACAACACAAAAATTAATTTGGTTTGACTTATAAATTTATGACAACCTGTATCAAAACTGGAAATTGCCAACAATTCATCTCCATCGAAAGGAAGTTTTTCTGAGTGCAAAGGTGAAATTAATATTACTGTAGCACTTCCATTTAAAACAGTTAGCAGCTGTTCATCTGGTTGGAAAAATAAAGATGTTGATGCTTTCTTGTGACGATGGTGAAACCAAAACTTGACTGTCATCTTCTCCATGAACTGATGACACTGAGCACAAAGGGGAGCCCTTATATCATTGAGCATCTCCATTGTTGGTTCATCACAAAGTGTTAGATCTTCCTGTGAATATCTTGAGAAGAATTCTTTGACTGGCATGTTACTTTCACCACCAAATGGGAAATTCTGTAGTCCTTTTATAACTGATACTTGCAAGTCTTCAGTTAAAGATTGGATCAGGTAGGTTTCTGTCCATACCTAAACATAATGAGAAACAGGGAGAAAGTTTAATTACATCTCTTAGGAAAGTTTAAAGATCACCAATACTTTGCTCCTTGAAAAATTTTGTATAGTGAAGCATTTGGTCTAGATGTGGGAAAGAAAAAAGGATCAATTCACACTCGGGCTTTGACATTATTCATTCCAATTTTTAATTCATGATTGGTTGCGTACTAGTTATTGTGAAAGCTAGTGGTCCAATTAAGAATACATACAGGAGGTGCTAATTTTGGAATACAGGTAAAATAAAAAGAAAAAAAAGATGTTGTTACCATGTCCTTGACAGAATAACTAGGAACAACTCTCTCTGCTCCAAATTTAGGATACATTTTGTAAGTGAGTTTGCATGATTAACTTATTACTACCCAAGATCTGATTTTTAACTCCTTCCTCTAGCTGCTACACATTTCCTTGTAATAAGTTAGAAGAATTTGGTATTAGATCAAGATTACAACTTCTACTTGATAGGTTGGAGTATTCTCATTACATGTTTGCAGGATAATATGTAGCTATTGTGGGGAGAAGTTGCATGTTAATCAATTCTGTGAGTTAAAGGGTGAGGAAAGATAGTCCAGAGATCTTGAAATTTTTTCTAGTTTGCATGTTTTGTTTGTTTTTTTTCCCTTTCCAACAAATAACCCCTAAAGAAGAAAGCTTCCCTATCCTAATCTCCATGGCGTTAGAGTGAGCTACACACTTCAGCAAAGTTTTTATGACCCTCTTGAAAAATTTCTCATGAAAATTGTGTCAGTCGTCTATGTGTAGTTTTTGAAAGTTACGTTTTTTTGGCAGTTTCTTTGCCACCAAGTTTCGATAATACCATGCTTAGGGTTGAAGTCATTATCATTTTGATTTATTTGCTTAAAATTAATAAATATTTGCTTTCCTACCGTATACGCTGGCCAGTTTCTTGCCACCCTCCTCATAACAAACGGCCTATGTTTCACCAAGAAATTATAGTAAAAATCTTCTGGAGAAATCATAAACAGACTTTCCTCTATAACTGTTTGCGATATGGAGTATTCCTCATGTTTGTTTGCCTCTTCGCCACAGTTTTCAGCCTTGTAATAACGTTCTCCCTCACAAACTTGTAGAACAACAAAGAATGCGAAAACTATTTGCAAAGGTTGGCCATTCCCAGCCATCACATCGACTGCAGAAAAAAATATGCTTCTTTAAAGTCTCAGCGAGATGACGAGCTATCTTCATTTGAAACTGAAGGCTTTAATTGTTGAACTGTCAAGGTGTCAACATCTGACCAAAAATTCTTACTCCCCTTCAAGGACACCCTAGAAACAACCTATGGAAAACTTAATTCAGCTTATACAAAGTAAGTACTATTAAAACAAACACTGCTGGTTAAATATCGCTAAGTACTATTCTTATAATTTTCTTTAGTCGTCATGGTTTTTTTAAGAATTTCTTCGAAAGTAATGGTAAAAATCATTAACCAGAACTTAATGGAGGAAAGAGAAAGTGGGTGATGTCTCTAAGAGAAGCGTGGAAGATTATTTTCTCAAAGAATTTTGTGGCATTGGAGAGCTCATTTACCCTTGGAGGTGTATCGTGTGTATGTGATTTAGATTGATTATTGTCCATTGTTTTTTTTCATACACTCTGGGATTTGATGGGAAATCGCTTGGTTCAAATTTAATTGTCCTATCTGGTTTTATTGTTCTCCTTAAAAATTGCGGTACCAAGTGCGGTGAGATAAACACTTTGTGTTTCGTGTATTTGCATCTTACCGGCAAGGAACCTATGATCGTGGGAGAATAAACCTATGTTTGGATATAAAGATTGAAAAAAAGCTTTGGAAATCAAGAGAAGGCTGCTGTACTGGATTAAGCATTACTTTAAGAATCTCCAGTGGATTTGACGGCCAGTATGCGAGTAAACATTTGATCCAGCTGATCATCTCTTCGACAAAAGACTGACACTATTCTGCTATTTCCGGAGAAATATATTGTTCTACGGTACATTTTGCATCTTAGGATTGTTCGATCGTTTCAGTTTACAACAGGGATCCATTGTTTAACAGTCTGATCATGCGATTCAAGTTGAAAAGAACTTGTAAATGTTTGGGAGCGTTATTGATCTGTACTATTGTTTATCTTTTCGTAAACTGCGGGTTTGGTGGTTGTGCGAAATATAAACTCGACCCCATCCACGTGGCAAATTCGCACCCAGAGCTCGGTGAAATGATCAAGATTGAGGATTTCTGGACACCGGAGAAGGAGAAATACACTCCCCGAGGGCCAGGCTCTTTTGGGGAGCCCGTAGAAACAGAGGCTGGGAGTGAACACTTGAAAGATAGTGCTTACGCGGAGTATGGCTTTAATCAATATATTAGCGATAAAATTTCCTTGGAACGTCCGCTCAAGGATACAAGGCATTTTGCGTAAGTATGCAACACATTCTCTGCCTTGTTTTGTTTTGCCTTCCGTGATCGAACTGTTTGAAAAAATTTGGTCAAAGCCTTTGAAAAATTAATAAGGACTTAATTTCGTTAGAATAAAGAGGAACGATTTTAACAAGACGTTGTGCTACTCTAGTTATGTGATGGATGCCAGTGATCCTGAAACAATATCTAATTTTTTATCGACAAGAATTCATCGCTAACTTTTTAACTCCCGCGTATGAGTCACCAAAAAATTCCCCTTTTTCAAAATCTGCGAATGTTTGTAAATTAGTAATGGGTTACGGGTTGGAGTAATTTCCCTGATATCTTTGAGTGACCGTGAACCCACAACGTACGTGTAGTAGACATGTAAACATAGGATAAATTATTAAGTGCAACCAAATATGTTCATTACACAAAACCTATCACTACATGCTGCCTTATGATATTATTTCCAAAATCCAAACAATTCGTAGAAGTTTGGCATTGTCTTCAGGGAAGAACTATGTGTAAACTTGGCTTATTGTTTATCTTTTGAAGATAATGTTTTTGTTAAAATGTATCTTTTAAATCTACAATGAAATTTCTGAGTCAGTACCTCTACTCACCCAAAAGGTAGAAAATTCACCAGCGAATCCCGTTGCGTTCTAATTTAGTTCAAACCTGAGCTTCCTAGCTCATTAATATTCATATTTTTGTCATCTGGACTCTCCAGCCCAGTCCCCACAAGTCAAGATAGCCCAGTGTTTACAATTCCTCGCAAACCTCTTATCCCTGTCTGAATGCTGTTTTCAACACTTACCTCTGCACTATGAAATTTTAAATTTTTTTTGGAAGTGAGGAAGCAATTTGCTCAGAAGGCACAAAATATCTTACTTGTTTTTTTTGGTGTTCACTTTGTCCATACCACTGTTGTAAACTGCCTTTATCAAATTTGCTTCTTTGAGAATAGTTAATTCAAATTCTTTATTTTGTTGCAATAATTGAAGGGGTCACATACCCACAATGCAGTACTGCTTTCAACTTTGCACTCAGATAATTACTGATTACCTCCCAATGTGCAGCAATTATAAAACATATGGGTGCCCTCCTCCTGTAAGAGTTTCAGATACTTGAAGCTAAGATTGATGGTTTTTTTTAAGAATAGATGTAGATCACATTGCTATTGTAACTTTTTGTTGAGAAAACAATCACATCTAATGATTTGTTTTTTATACCATTTTTAAAGCAACTAAGGAAAAAGCAAGGTGACAGGAAAATGTTTTGTAGATCTATCAGTTAGTGAGTTTTGGAAAAATGAATTGCAAAATTGCCCTAAGCCTTTTTTCAAAATAATTATTTAGTTGTGTTGAAAACACTGAATTTTTGCCATTTTTAACCCTCACATCAGTATGCATTTTCTCCATACTGTTTACTATACATTTCTTGAAATTTAACAATCAAGAGCTTCTTTAATAAGTTGGGGATCATTTCCTTTATTTTCATGACTTTAATGTTTGATTCAGGGGTGATATTGTTAAGAGAAATTAGATGCTAGTCTCTTTTAGAGGTCCATTGTGGACCTGTGTTTTATCTGATTTACATCTCCATCACAAAACTGAGGTTATCAACAAAAAATAAGAGTTGAAATTTTTTGCTGATCATCTTTTTCAGATGCAAAGAACGTAAATATCCACATAATCTCCCCAAAGCTAGTGTAATCATAGTTTTCCACAATGAAGGTTGGTCCACATTACTGCGAACAGTTCACAGTGTCATAAACAGGTCTCCTCCACACATGCTCCAGGAAATAGTAATGGTTGATGATTTTAGTGATAAAGGTGAGTAAACTTGATGTAAAACTTGCTCTAAATGTGTTTTCTTGGCTCTTCTAAGACTGGGTAAACCTACTTTTTTATCCATCACATAAATTGCTATCCTGCAGGGAATGGTTAAATTAAAACAAATGTCAGGATTGTGTTTTTGAGCAGAACTGATGTAATTGTAGTAGAATGAAAAGGTAAAAGATAAAATCAGCAATTGAGCTAAGTTGCTCGTTTGACTAAAACTTATCCCAGTAACCATAGCATTAACCCTTAAACTCTAAAGATCTGATTTTTAATTCTCCAATTTAGCTGCTATACACTTGTTTATAAAATTAGTTATAAGAATTTGGTGTTAGATCAAGATAACTTCTACCTGGTAAGTTTGAGTATTCTTATTACCTGTTTGCTGGATAATGTATGGATATTGTAAGGAGAAGTTACATGTTAATCATTTCTGGTAGTTAAAGGGTCAAGCATATTAGAGTATTGCTGTACTGAACTTACCCTGGATGGGATGTCGCTCTTTACACCGCAGCAGTTCATCAGGTTTTCCAGACATTTTGCTAGCATTCATACATTTGGGTGAAGAGAGTTTTGGAGAGGGTAAAATGTCTTGCCTAAGTCTCAGAACTCAGACCTGTCCATCTGAAGTTCAGGGTCTCTTACCCAAACCTCTCTCTTTTTTTTCCACCCCACTTAAACTTCCAGTTTTTTTCACTCCACTGCTACTGTCCTGCCATTGATTTTACTATAACGCTCCATTTTTTCTAACTGAACCCCTGGAACAGGCTAACAATGGTGATGCTAAGAAAACAGTCAGCTTTAAAATCAAGTGTCCTTTCTCTTAAAAATTTTCCAAGTTACTTAATGTGTTAACCATCTTGTCTGGTGCCAGATCTCCCCTTCAGCATGACATACAAAAACAGGTTTGGGGTTCCAGTTCTTAAGACTTGTGAAAAAAATTTGGTGTTACATGTTGCTGTTTTGGATAGGACAAAAACCAAATGTACAAAGTCTCTAAATCCACATGCTCAGGTACTGTCTTGCTTATTAAATCTATCTCTCCTCTGCATTCTCATTGCTGTCATCTGATGGTAAAGTCTGTACTCAAGCTTATTGGCCCACCCAGCTGGAGCTTATCACGGTTTCCATGTGGCATGAAGTGATTGGGAGTATTACCACCCATTTTCTCAGGCTCCTTAGGCAATTTGCTGGTAATCATTTACACTCCCGAGTGGAGAGAGGCATTGTAAGAGTCTTGTCAAAGAACACAACACATTGACCCAGCCAGTTCTTGACCTCAGACCTCTCGACCTGGTGTCAAGTACACTGGCTATTATATTACTGTATCTCCCTGTGTCAGCTGTTGTGGTGTTCTTAACCCCTTAAGTCTAATGAGTGACTAAGACAGAATTTCTCCTTACAATATCAATACAATATCAAGCAGACAAGTGGTGAGAATTGAGAGAAATATCAATCAGGAAATAATTATTGATCCTGTACTAAATTCTCTGAATTAACACCATAAGAATTGTGCTGCAGACAGTAAGGAGAATTACTGATAAGGGTTATAGTCTCAAATTTAAGCCTTGGTTGTCCCCCACCAATGAAAGAAAAACACAAATCAAATTGGATTAAATTTGTTTACCCGGTAACTTGAAATCATTTCACACCAAAACATTTATTGACACTCACAAGCTCATTACAAGGATTATTTTCCTATGCTTTTGGAGCTAACAATAGTCATGATTTCATTTACAGCACATCTAAAGAAGAAACTAGAAGACTACACAAGAAAACTAGGAAAGATAAAAATTGTCAGAACTAATGAAAGGGTTGGACTGATAAAGGCTCGATCTATTGGTGCAAGTAGTGCCATCGGTGAAGTTGTTCTCTTCCTTGATGCACACTGTGAGGCTAATGTGGGCTGGCTCCCTCCTCTGCTTGAAAGGATAGCCCTAGATCGAAGAACGGCAGTGTGCCCTACTATAGACTTCATAGATCATAACACTTTTCAATACAAGCCTATGGACCCTTACATTCGAGGAACCTTCAACTGGAGATTTGATTATAAAGAGAGGCCGGTGCGTCCAGAACAGATGAAGAAGAGGAAAGATCCTACACAAGAAGTTAGGTAGGTCAGGGCTTGTTCACATCCTTGCACCCATGTAAACTGAAAACTATTTAAAACAATTGTGGAGGGTAACTCTGTGATACATCCCTTCCAAGGGACCATTTCTCAAAGGTCCCAGTATCTATACAAACCTGAAGTAATATTTTGAATCAAATTCTAAGGAAAATAACGCAGATTTACGCTCAGGAACCAGTATAAGTATAACAAAGTAAAAGACTGTTCACTCTGACAAAGGGCTTATGCTTGAAGCATTACCTTTGAAACTCTTAACCCTTTAACTCCCAGATCAAATTTGTACTTCTCCTTGCTGTCAACCATACAGTTCTTACAACATTAGTTCAGAGAATTTAGTATTGGATCAATTAATTATCCCCAAATTTATATTTTTCTTTATTCTCATCCCTTATCTGGTTGATATTGTATTGATATTGTTAGTAGAACTTCTGTCTTGGTCACTCATGGGAGTTCAGGGGTTAATAGTGGCCAATTTACTATATCAACTCAGTCAATAATATCAAATTACTATTGAGTAATGGACCCTAAATTAATGTAGCGATATTCCCTGTTGTTGCACGATGTGGAAACTGGTGACATAGTCCAAGATGACTGCATGCCCCACCCTTGCACCCCTTCTGCTGCTAGAGTTCAAAATACAAATATTCCTTTCCAGGTCTCCTGTTATGGCTGGTGGGCTGTTTGCAATCAACAGAGAGTTTTTCAGTGAGCTGGGACAATATGATCCAGGAATGTTCATCTGGGGAGGAGAGCAGTATGAATTATCATTCAAGGTATGATGTTCAAATGGGATGCCTTTGGCAGACCACTTTAAAAATTTGCTTGAGTTTTATTGTTGTCAGATATGGAAATTTACCTCATGTTTGTGCTTCTCACTGAAGTTAAGCCCTGTTGGGTGAAGGTACTACTGGGGTGGGTGCTGTGTTGTTTGGTTTTGTTTTTTTTTTGTTCGTGTCCTTATTTTTGATGTCATTCCTGTACTTTGAAGATTCAGCATCAAATTTATTATTTTCCACTTAAAACCAGAGTGGCTGAAGGTGAAGACCAATGTATCCCACAGTAATGCCTCCGAACGTCTCATTAATTATAACATCTTCATGCTATGAAATATGTACTTACAGTAAATGTGATCAACAGATAGATTATTTGCATCTTATTGGTTATAAAGTACAAGTAACTTCTGCCAATAACATCCATGCACTATTCAGCAAACAGATAATGAGAATACTCAAACTTTAAAAGTTAAAAGTTATCATCTTGATCTTACACCAAATTCTCATAACTAATTTACTAGGAAATGTGTAGATCCCAGTTTGGAGAATTAACAATTAGATCTTGGAAGTTTAAGGGTTAAAGTAATGGCATGAGTTGTGTATACTAATCACACTGAGCAGAGGAAGGCAAAGCCAATGAAAATCCTACAGGACTTTTGACACCCGTCTGGAAATGGCTTTGAGGAAGTAGTTATTATTAGAACATGAACCTGCACTTCGTATGGAGAGACGAAAATTGGAAGTAGTATGACGGTTTTTCAACCTTTTTAGCCGTCGAGAGTGCCTACATGTAGCATCAACTTTCTTCTCACAGTATCATCAGTGAATAAAACACCAAGGTCGTGAGAATAACGGAAATGATCGCCAACTAAAGAAGCCCTCGATTTCCCGACAAATTCTCCTTTTCAGTATCGTAGAAAAGTGTGGAAGACAGTATGGGAATATGCATGTTGATATTAAGGAGTTAGGGGATAAACGGCCATGTTATTAAGGTTCACGATGGATCTTTGTTTTATTTCTTAAGCTCTGGCAGTGTGGTGGCCAACTTGAAAACATTCCTTGTTCCCGAGTGGGACATGTCTACAGACATCATGTCCCCTATTCATACCCCAAGGCGGATGCCACCCTTATAAACTTTAAGCGCGTAGCAGAAGTCTGGATGGACGAGTACAAGGAATGGCTATATGACAAGAAGCCCGAACTTAAAAATGTCGACCCTGGAGATATCAGTGATCGACTTGCCCTGCGGAAAAGGCTCAAATGTAAAAGTTTCAAGTGGTATATGGAGAATGTGGCAAATGATACTGTCAGGTCGATTTATGAACCTCTCAAGGCTAACGGACCGGTATGTTATTTGTAATGTATACTACTATGTTTTGAAGAAGCATTTTTTTGTTTTTTTTTTTTCGCTACGTTTTTTTGACCCAAGCTCGAGACAACGAAAAAAAAACACAGTTCTTCATTACATCACCGGGGTTAAATTGACCATCTTTCTTTTTCTATTAACCAATACGAAGCTTCCACCACTGTTAATCCCAACAGTATGCGAGACGCGAGACAATTATGAACGTTGTACTGACTTAGCTCACTCTGTGCTCAGTGGTAGAGGGTTAGAACGTGGAATCCGAAGTTCTGAGGTTCCACTTCTTCATGGCGACTGTTCCTTCTTCGTTATCACGTTTTATTACTTACCTGTTCTAATAAAGCGATTGAGTATCGTCGAGCTATAACCCAAAACATCGCAACGACCAATCAGAAGAAAGGAAAATACCATTAAGAGCCAATGAGAACTCAAAGTAAAACCTACCAAACTGCCTAAAGCGCGGGAAAACGCGGGTGACATAGTCGGGATTTGCGTCTGATTGGTTGAGTGAGTGGCGCGAGTAGTTTGGGCCGATCACAGAGCGAAGTAAAGAAAAACTAATGCAATCTCGGATTAATTTCGACATTAAATTGAAAATTGCTTTTACATTCCATGCAAATTAGACTTCGAATGAAGTAATGTAGCCGAAGTTATTCATTGTTGGTCTTGAGGAATAAAAGTACGGAGAAGTCACGTTGCTCATTTACCAGAAATCCCGGCAGCATTGACGTACAGTACATTATTTTAGTTGCGAGTTCCACTGAGGAAAAAAAAAGCTTTGTTATGTTTCAATACAGTGATTTATGAATTAAAATTTGATAAAAGGGAATACTGAGGAGAAACTTATAGCGATCCACGAATGGAAAGTTTTTTCAAAGTTACATTTCCTTGTGTCGTGAATCTTGTTTACTTTTAACTCCTCACTTATTACCTTACCACTCAAGGACCATCCCAGTCAAGTGGTTTGTGGCACTGTTAATTCTAAGTGTTAAAAGTGGGATTTATTGATTTATCAATTAGTCAATGTATTTGTTAAAGGTTATTTACCTCTCTGCAGATTCGAAACCCAAGCACCAATCTTTGCCTGGACTCTATGGGACGGAAAGCTGGAGGGGAGCTAGGACTAGTAACTTGCCACGGCATGATGGGAAACCAGGTGAATGTCTATTAGTGGAGAAGGGGGGGGGGGGTGGGTGGTCAAAAAAAATCGGGAGTCGTAAGGAGATATCAATTTGAAACTGGGAGTTTAAACTCCTACCATACGACATTTTTGAAGAAGAGCTTTCACAAATGTACAGTACTGCCACAAAATGCTGAAATACGATGCCTTCATTCGTCGAATTATCTCACGCCACTTCGCTTTGAGTTTGTTTTAAAACATAATTTCATAGCGATACATTTATTGACAAATATAGCGTAACCTCTGCTTTGCAGCACCTCCATTCAGGGAACACAAACTTTGGTTCAGGAAAAATGTTCATATAGTCTTTGTATCTAATTTAAGAGATCCTCGCAGCTAAGAACGCTACTGAAACGAGTAGTTGAAAATAGGACCTGAAAAAATTTAGGCCCGTACGGGACTTAAACCCATGACCTCTGCGATACCGGTGCAGAGGTCATGGGTTTGATACTTTGATACTTACTGTCAATGATGTCTTTGTTTTGACCAGGCTTTCCAATATACATTTCTGGATGAATTCCGACAAGATGAAGCGTGTTTAGATGTAAGCCAAGGTCACAGTGGAGCCAAGATAACACTTTATGGCTGCCACGAACTGAAGGGAAACCAGGAGTTTAAATACACCAAGGTAACGAGGAATGAAATTAATGATAATCACAGTCTCTATCGTCTACGGTGTAAGGAGGTTAAGTCCCGTCACTCATATGTATGCACTGGACGCCTCCATGAAAATAAATGAAGCCAGTTATTTCATACGCTATGACACAGTCTCATTCCTTGGAATTATCTTGCGCTAAGCATCTATTTGCTGTAATTCGCTCGCTCGCTCGCTAGGTTTTTGTTTTGTTTTTGCGTTTCCATTGATTTACTGGGATTACCCTGCAGTCAGCTTTTGAGTTTATTTTAATTTACGTTAAAGACTTTTATTAGCTCTCTCGGTTAGTTCGTGCGCTGTGATTGGTCGATTTAGCGGACCGTATTTCACTGTACGGCCCGCTTTATTCAAAAGTTTGTTTAAATTGAAATCTTGGTCCTCTATTTGAACCCAGAGATGTAATAAATATCTTACTAACCCCTGGTATTCTTGGTCCGTACTGTAAGTTACGGTACCCCGTTTTTTTTTCGCTCAGTCCGTTTGTTACAGTACGGAGCGAAAACCTGTTTAATAAGGAGAGGTATATCTCTCCTTGGTAACGTCTTAAAGTTCACGATTTTGCAGTGTGTAGCCTGCAAAGCAGGTGTCGTATTAGGGCAAGTGAACCTTAAGAAGCTCGCGATCGTTTTTTCAACGTGTTTGATTTGGAGGTAGAGGCAGCGGTAGGGGGGAAGGGGGGAGACCCACCCCACTCCCCTCCTTATTGTTGACCGTCGCTCACTCCCATGATACAAATTTATTACTCTCCCCAGTCTACCGCTGCTGTTATAATCAAAGATGGCGACCATAATTGTCGCCAAGAAAATACTGAGCACTCGCTCGCCAAAATTACGTCTGGTCTGCAGGTTATGCAGCGTGCGGCTCAATGGTGTGGCAGTCGCGTATGGCTGGACATGCATGTGTACTGTCTCTAACAGCACCACATCTTTACCTCAGTATAAGGCATGTGAGCATCGTTTATTTCTGATTAGAAACTCAAATAATTTGCCTTCGGGGGTTCCGTTCTCCAGGTCACGCCAATCTTGGTGATTTCACGTTGTTGTTCTGCAGAGGACGACTAAGAAACTTACAAAGGTTCAGTATGCACGTGCTGAGCTATTGTTCTGCCCATTAGATCTTTCTGTAATATTTTGCTGTTTCTGTGTCTTTCACAGGAAAATAAATTACTCCATGTGATTACCAACAACTGCGTGACAGCGACCAACAAAGGTTATCCAGTTATGGAACGTTGTGATAACATTCCAGAGCAGATATGGGAAATTCAACTGAACGATCTCTCTAAACTTACTACTAAAAGACCTCCTTAGGTGATCAAGTGAATGGTTTGATATTAGAATATTAGAGTTTGGTAATATTTTTAAGGTGGAGGAAATAGTAATAATTTTACTTTAGAGTGATTTCCGCGTCCTAACGTCAATTTTGCGCAATTGAATGGGTAGAAATGAAATAGGAAATTAAATTTTTTTTTTCATGAAAAAAACACGATTAGAGAAAAATTCTTATGTGCTCGTCTACTAAATTGTTTGATAAAAAATTTTAGAATGCACGATTGGGTTGGTAAGGTATATTAACAGCTTATTATATTTGTTATTATCACATGACCCGTAGGCGCTGCACGCCTAGTGAAAGCCGACGTGTGTAGGGCCGGACCGGTTGACGTGAGCCGGTCCCGAAAAAGCCGTCCGGCCCTGCAATCACACGGCTTTGGTGCAAAAACTTTAAAAAAGAGAAAGAGAGAAAAAAGTTGCGTTTTTTGATGAATTGTTAGTTTCTTGCTCTGACGCGAAAAAACTTAGGAAAAGATTTCAGTGTAGTAATAGACGGAGATTATGAGTTGCGATGCATCAAAAAAAAAACAAAACAAAACAAAACAAAAACAAAAAAAAAACAGAAAAAACCCCAAAAAAACCAACAAGTGAGCGCAGCGAAGAAGTGAGTTTTTGATGCATCGCAACGAGTGAATAAAAGTCGTTCAATTACTTTCCATGATATGATGCTTTTATTTCATAAATACTGAGATTTTTTTTCTTAGTTACCAACACATTTCAAATATTGGAATTGAACGAATGTGGGAATGCGTCGTTCGTTCAATCAGAGACACGAACGATAGTATCTCGCAGTGTAAATCTCTGTATATATGAAATAGTCTTTTCTGTAGCCGTCTCGATTGCTCCTGTCTATCGCGTCCTATTCAGGTTGGAATAAATTTTTGAAATTTTCAACCCTTAGTGCGCTCGGTCCGTATGTCATGACCTTGAGCTGTATACCTTTTCGATCAAAATAGATTTTAATTTCTCCAATTGCCGCCCATGACTTCTCATCGTTGATTAATGAATAAAGAATCGGATTTGTATTAACTTTTGGCAAATACTTACTTTAAATACGTCTAGTCCCTTGCTGGAAATCAGTGGTTAAGGTTCAACTTAGTTCAGAGTTTAGCCCTTGGACATTTTTATTATTAATTTGTACCAGTGGGAGACCTATCGGCGTAGTGGTTTGCGCTGGGTCACGTGGTCAGGTCTCATTCCCAGACCAAATTGTAGTGTTGTGTTGTTTTCTTGGGCAGCAAAATTTCCTCTCACATGGCCCCTCTCCACTCAGGGGTTTAAACAAAACAGACGAATTTTCAGGGAAATCCATCGAAATGCTGTGGGTACAGGCTTGCCATCGGGAAGGGGTGAGGGAGGGAGGTAACAATACGCCAAGTCGGTTTTATGTGACAGAAATTTAAAAGAGGCCTCGTGGCTCGTAAGCTCCCGGTGCCTATGTTTGGTTACCTGTGTTCCAGTCCACAGAAGTGCCGTTTGTTAAACCATAAACGAAATACCAAAACAAAAGCAAAGAAGCGTGGCTTATTCGATAAGGCGTCCGACTTCGGATCAGGAGACTGGGGGTTGGAGTTCCTTCGTGGTCGATGTGTTTAAACGCGTTGAGACTCGTGAACTGTTATTACTATTAAGGTTATTCCTTTCGTTTTGCGGAATGTTTTGCCGGTGTTTCATGGCGGATCTTAGTCGTCATTACATGAACCCAGAGATGAATCGAAAACATAGGCAGTCAATTTTTCAATTAAACAGACATATGATGATTCGTTTTTAATTTTTTAACAGAAGTTGAACGATATGAATTATACGAACATTAAGTATATTGCTCAGGCGATTATAGAGGTGCGTGCGCTGATTGGTTGAGGCGTGCGCTGATTGGTTGAGGATTGCGCATATTTAACAATTATTCGCTGAAGGCGAATTGATGTGAATACTGTTGAGTAATCCTCGAGAAGAAGTCGAAAGGATAATTCAACAATATTCACTGAGTTTGAGACGAAAATTGTTTCAGTATAATTTCTCAGGTGATTTATATTTTTGAAGTAAATTCTGTAAATAAAGAAAACATCGCGCTTATTTTGCTACAGTTCTGTTGATTATAGTTTTAACAGGAGGGTGTCAATGGGGTTGAGCGTTAGCCGTAAAACAGCCAAAAGATTTAGCCAATTGGCGTAAAAATTGATAAAGTGTAACCGTTCGTCGTAACAGAAGTTAACCGTAAAAAACATTTTGTGACAATAATGGAAAGATATTGACCCATAGCCGTAAATTGGCCAAAAATTTAACCGTTAGCCGTAAAAGCCATGACCTTTTTGAGACCCTCCAACAGGTTTGTCCAATTGAATCCGCAAAAGCTTCACGTCTTTCTTTTGAAAAGGGTTCCGCGGAACTCCGTAGCATCGTTTGTGCTCTTTGCAATTGAATTTTCTTCTGTCGCGTTTGAGTGAGCTTTGATTTCTACGGAAATTTTGGCCTCTTCTCCTGAGCTAAACAACCCGACTGGCCCGCTAAGAGACGAAATTCTGAGTTAATTTTTTTTATGGAAAGACAGAAGTTTCGTTGCGGTCTGTAATGTTCATGTGAAGATTTCAGTCTTTTCGCCCAGAATATCGGTAATCGGTGAGGCTGTCAAGATTTTCCAAAACGTGTGCTTATAAATCTAGTATAATAACATTACAAATCTCTACTGAATGCGTCTTAACTTTGTCGGCAGCAAAGGCCCTATTCAGTCAAAAATGAATCCACAGTTCTGGGGGAAAGTTATGTTTCTTATGTCGCTATTTCTGGTTAGTTTTCTTTGCACCATCAGTTTGGTAATTTTTACTCAGTTTCTCCGCGCCATTGCTTTTATTCTGCGATAAATTAATTCGTCTACGCTTCACTGGCCGGCAATTCATTCAGTTTCCTGCGCTTTGGTTGCTTTATTGCACTTTTTGATGGGTTTCATAAGAATCAGCTACGTGATCACAAAATAAGATAAAATAGACCATTTTCTCAGACAAACTTCACTAATGTTTGAGGAGACGGCGTGGCCAAGTGGCGCTATACTTGTACTCTGATGGTCCCGGGTTCAAGTCCTCCATCCTGACTCACTGGATATGTTCTCGGTCGCCCCGAGTACAACTAGTTGGTTGCGTTGTGTAAATCGCGAACTGGTTTGCCTCCCACCAGTTGTGATTTTCAAGTACTTTGTGTTTATTTGAAATATTTGTTTCTCTATCTTGCCTGGCCCACAATCTAAACTACTGGGTCCACTAGTACTTGTGGTAGCCATTAAAGTCTATTTATTTACTTATTTATTTATATTTATGTCATAAAATGCACTGCACACAACATCAGGTCGATCCTATCTTTACTTTCATAGTAACACACGAAAGCACGCATGTTCATCAATGAGCTGCGCGCATTTGCAACAACCAACAGTGCTGTAATATATCAAACACGAGGAAGAGGTTTCATCCGATATCTAAGCACCGAGAAGTGGTTGAAAAAACGAGGCGCAGCTGAGTTTTTTTTAACCAACCTCAAGGTGTTTGGATATCGGATGAAACACCCTTTCGAATGTTTGATATAGCTTCTCAAACCAGTAATAATTCTTGGAGAAAATCAAAGCGAAAGTTCACCAAATTTTATGATAATTAAGATCACATATCCTAACCTCCTTCACGGTTGTAATTTCCTTTGTTTTCTCAGCATGAATTATCAACGAGTTTGAGAAATACTTATGAAAACAACTGTTATAAAATAAATATCTGAACACCTACGCTAATTTGAAACTCTTCTTAATGATATACTCGTATTTGAAGTCTGGCATTATCTAGGGTCTACCTAAAAACGACTCTTTGACAAGTTCCCGAGTTCTCCAATAACTTAACTTAAAAAGCTTAACTTAAAAATCAAGCAAGAACACCTTTACGCAGGATAAAAATAAATAAAACTCTTTTCTCAATTTAGGAGCAAAATTATTAGTAATTTCCTACCAAAAAAGCATGGTGATTTCCTTTCCTTTTCGTTTTTTGTTTTGCGTTTTTGTATATGCACAAAGAAAAGCTTTTCGTATAACTGGTCACAGATCTCCACCATTACTACGAATGTAGGTCCTTTTACGGAAAAAACGTCCAACGCAAACTGTTGAAACTATACAAAATTCTCAAGCTTTCTCGTCTGAACTGCCAAGATAAGTCTAACCTCAGCAAGGTTGACAGTCAGTCAGGAAAAAAGTGAAATGGTCTCTGCTCATGCAGAAGGAAATCACGAATATTTTTTAGTCGACTTGAACTTGATCACTTTCGAGGTTTCCCCCGCCCGCGACCTCTTTGTCTTGGTTTAGCATCTACATAGCCAGTGAAAATAGCATTAAGCGGCAGTCCCGGGCATGGATTGATTAGAAGCTGCTTGCAGTTTTCCAAGAGAACATCTCGCCTCAAAGCATCGACGAGTGACTTCAGATCTTTGAATTCTCTGTCCGCAAGCAGAAGGTTGCTGGTTTGTAAGTCTCTCTAATAATGAAAACGTTGCGAAACATGATTTGCACCACAAGGAAAAGAACGTAAGTGCGAAAAAAGTGTCTTGTTTTAAGCCCGAGTCATAGAGAATTGCCTTTTTATAAGGAGACGTAGGCTCACTTTTCAGCATCACTATCTCAAAAGAATTTGTGAAATTAAACTCAGATCACGATATGAGCGTCCAAAGAGAAGCCTGACGTTTCCGAAATTGTCTACGAACGAGCATAATAATTTTAGTACGGCCGCCGCTATTTTAAACCTCGCTTAGGAACCTGGCCAACAACGGGTTTCGTACCAAAAAGCCTTCTTTCTTATTCTAATGGAGAACTGTTGAAACATATTGAGCTGCTGTAAATAAAATTGTAGCAAAGGTACTAGCTGTTTGTGCAGCGCGCATTTGCGTATGCGGCCAGGTTACAAAGATGTTCTTAAAATTGCGGCGTCCAAAGGTGTTTTTGGCTCATTTGAAGACAACGCTCAAACGATCGTTTCGTTCCACTTGCAATTAATGTCAGTTACCTTAATTTGAATTTGAACCACGCCTCTATCCCTTGTTTTAACGGCAAGTACGAATACACCATCGTGAGCTTTGGAAGAACTGATCCGGAGAAGAAAATGCCCTGGGATCTGGTCACTAAGGCGTTCGTCTGATTCGGTTTCGTTCATTCGACCTGCAAACCAACTTGTAAGGATACTTTAACATTAGGTAACTTCTGACTTTTAACAATTATGCATAACCAACAAAATATCATGATTTGACCGATGATGAATGCATAAATAGGTTTGGGGATGCAACAGGGAAGATGCTATGGGATCGTCGAATGGTAGGGCGCACAAAAGACAGTGTTTGAATAAAATTAAAGAGAATAACGGAATGAGTTGTTTATGGTATGCAATACCACTATTACTAAAGAATGAAGTTAACTACAAGAACACCAAAATCCTGATACAGTTTATACTCCATTGAAAGAGGTTTTAACTCACCTCGCTTATTACGCCAGTAAACCTATAGAGAGTGCAGTCTATTACTTTTATAAATAAACTATGGGTTTTTCGGCACAATAACCGATAGGTTCTTGACCAATCCGGGCACTTGTAGTATCACAGTCATTTTCTAAAACATTCCTTTTCACGGAATTATTGAAAACTTGGAAGACTGTTTTTGAAAACAGAAACTGTGCAGTTTCAGAGGTTCTCTGTGTTTCCGAAAACACCGAAACGAAACGAGCATGTGGTACATCGTTGCTGGTATTTCTACAAGTCACATAGCAAATGAAATCCCTCTGATATAGTTCATGACCATTAATTTTTGTCTGGGACGTGTGACCGTGGGGAGAATGGGGCAGGGAGGAATGTCACCGCTTACGTCGAACAGCTCCAAGATAACTAACAGTTATGGTATCCTCCTTCCTTGACGAGTTACACTTACCTCTCTTTTTTGCCGTCATCTCGAACTGAAATTGAGTCCTTCATCAAATCATACATCTTAAAAAAAGAATAAGAGAAAAATAA